CAACTGTTTTCATTTTCATTTTGTTTTTGTTTTATTTTCTAAGTTTGTTTTAAGTTTATTGCTGCCGGTTGTCACCGATTTCCTNTTTATTAGCATTGTTGCAGGAAACTGCATTAAATATTGGAATTTGTAGTCACTTTTACTATTTTCGTAGGGCAACTGTTTTCATTTTCATTTTGTTTTTGTTTTATTTTCTAAGTTTGTTTTAAGTTTATTGCTGCCGGTTGTCACCGATTTCCTTGTTGCTGTTGCTGTTGCTGTTACTGTTGCTTTTGTTTCATTTGTTCAAAGGTTGTTGTAATATTGTATTGTTGTTGTGTTCTGAATCGCTTTGTCACTCCTTGTCGTTTTAATTTTTGTTGTTGTTGTTTATTACTATAGTATCTTCTGCTGCTGTTGCATATGTTTGTGTGGTTTTGTTTTTGTTATTCGCGTTTATCCGATTCCACTTCCAGCTCCCATTAGAGAGTCAATCGCGGCATCATAATATTACATCTGTAAAAAGAAATGATATTTATTCAAGGCGGCTACTATTTCATAAAAACATTGACTTTGTAGCAACATAAAAAAGTATTTGTATTCGCTAAATTTACATATGGTATATACCATTCTGTGTCTACACAAATTATCTTCATTATTAGGGTATACTAACTCAGTGATCTAGCCAGACCCAACGTGATAATTCCTAATGATCACTTCAATCAAAGCATTACTTTGATGAATTTTTGAAATTCGAAAGCACGGCGCAAATTTAATAACCTTCACAAAAAAAAATATCTTCCCTATAATATACATACATACATATTTTCCTACTAACTTAGATCGATATGACTTTTTGAAAAGGTTGTAAGCCTAATCAAAGATATTTTCAAAATAAGACCTTTGAAAACCTCTTTCGTCGGACGCCCATATTGTGATACATATGTATGTATTTCAGTTATCTAATTGCATTAATTGAAGTTGAATTTGACTTTCAAACATGTGGCAACCTTCCTAAATCTATTTCAGAAGTAGAGCCTTTTAATTTGAGTGTAACTTTTTAAACAAGTGGCACTTCAAACATTCCAAATGCTTAAACTAAAGATTTCTTACCACTCAAAAACTTATGGCAACTCTCTTCAAAAGTATTTTCAACTCATTTAACTCTCCTTTGTCTGACATTGCGAAACATATTTTAATTAACTAATGAATTTTGTTTGATATTTTAAACATATGGCAACCCCACTAAATATGGTTCAGAAATAAAGCCTTTTAAAACCCATTTTGACTGATACCAGTATTTCAATAATTCCTTTAACTGATTGAATAATTTGAATTTAAATTTTTAAAAAGGTGGCAACCCTCTTTAAACATCGCAAAAATATTCTCAGCGTTTAAACCAAAGATTTCTTAACACTCTTTCGTTTGACACTCATATTTTAATATTTCATATCACTTGTGTATAAGCTAACTAAATTTGACTTTTCAAGTAGGTGGCAACACTCCTAATAATGTTTTCTTAAACCCCTTTCTTCTGGCGACCATTTGGTGATCCATATTTCTATTACCTAATTTCCTTGATTCAAATTGAACTTGATTTTTTAAACCGGTAACAACCCTCTTATAGTTAAGTTAAGAAACAAAGCTTTACAAAACCAGTTCGATTGATACCTATTTTGTAATAATTGATTTATTTGTTTAGATAATTATATTCAACAATTTTTTGATAATTTTCATTAAATTTTTTTAATGTGGTAGCTCTTTGCAAAGAAGTAAAGCCTCATCTACAACCCAAGCCTTATATATTGACACCTTATTTCGAATCGAGCGAACGGTGCAGATCTGATGATCTCGACAAAAAATTCCCTCGCATATTTAACATATACATATGTATGTACTATGTGTATGTACACATGGATGGCCTTAAAAATCGCGTGAATAAGAATTAAAATGCACAAAAATCCTATTAAATTGGGCTAAGGACACGCATCAAAAACCTAAATTTTTGTAACGAAAATATTTTAAGTATTTTATCTGCTAATATGTACATTTGTTAACCGTAATTTTTCGTTTTGTTTTCATTTGCGTAATAGTGGGTTATTTTTGTAAAATTAGCAGAATTCAGGACATACATATTTGTATAAGTAATTTTGTCCACCTAAATTGTTGAAATATCGCACTGTGCTTTTGGTTGCACACACTACCTATAGAGAAATACGAGGCTCACTAACAAATCTTTAGATCTCGCCACATCAATACCAACGCTGTGCACAGGACGATAATGGAAGATCGTTGCGTGAAATTAGGGTGTCCGTTATTTCGAAATTCAAATTGTTTTTTTTTGCTGCCACCCCATGAAATTTTGGTTTTGGTTTGGTTTGCCTTTGGTTGCCACACTTGTTTTCAAAAACAACTAAGGTTAAAGCAATGACCAATATATCGATTTCTAAAAATTTGGATGCTTTACAAAAAAGGTTCGTTATGAATTTTTGATAAATTTACGCCTCCAAAAATTATTCAAGTGTACATTGCAGCACATACATGGTATACACGACGTATGAGTGATGGTTAAATACAAAGTGGCCATATGCTCACTATCGTGAAGTTATGGGATTTTTGTTGATTTTCATGTACACAAACATATAAACATACATACGTACCAGAGGGCAGCTTTGAGTATGATCGAGCCTTTTTGATCACCCTCAATTAAAATCGAGCACAAGCGAACGCCGCACTCGGCTACTATGTGTTAGATCGAGATGCACACCCGACAGCTGCTTTGAGTACGAACGAGTCTGTTCGATCACCCTCGCTATAAATTGAGCTCAAGCGAACACCCGCAGCTAACCCGAAAATTTGTGTAACAATGAAACGGACACCCGAACATTGCGATAAAATGCAGGACAACAATGAAATTTACGCTGAAGGTAACTGGCGCCAATATGTTCCAACAAAGCATACGAAAATGTTGTTGCTTGGTGCTTGTGCATACGCAGTGAAAACAATTAGAAGCGAAGTAGACAAAAATGTTTGTGCATCTGTTTTGCATAGTTTCGCGTGGAATGCTGTGTGTATTTATTAGAACGCACAGCCTAAAACTATGTAGGTACATAAGTACTTTTACAAAAAATAAATGTGCACCGAGTGCATAGGGCTTGGGCATTGCCGATCTACACACATTTAATACCTACATGGATGTCGTGAAGATGCAACCTTCTCTTTGCCCTTCTACGAACAAACACTAAGAAGAGCGCGATGAGAAGGCAACATTTTTTGTAGAAACGAAAACGCCATAAGCCAATCACCAAATTTTGTGCACACTCGGGTTGAAACTCGAACACCCGGGTATATTGAGCTGCAAAGCACCCGAACCCAATCAAGTATGTATGAAAAGCAATCGGGTGTTGTGGCCAACATGTTCGTCTTGAGCTCAGTCGCTAACGAACAATACTTCTGCTCGTATACAGAGAATGATGCAAAACGGGTTTTGTTAGATGATCGAGTATACACAAAAATTATGCACCCGCTACAGATGTCTGATACGTACTAGGATGTCCGTTATGTCCCAAAATGGAACGGTAGAAAAACTTGAAAAACTATGTGGGTCTTCACACTTGAGAAGTTTTTTCTTTTTAGCATACATTTTTTTTCTCTGAAACAAATATTTCAGCAATGATCAATATACATATGTATATTGAATATTCTTTAGGGCAAAAAACTAAAATTCTTAGGTCGACAGCAAAAAAATAAATAGGGAAACAACGGACACCCTAATGTGGTATATAGTGATATTCAGTATTCAACACTAAAAACGGCTCACACCGATTAGTGCATCCAAGCCCTGCAAAAATGCAAGCACGCCACGACCAGACAGCTTAATTCCATCGTAATAGGTGACGTAACTTCGATATACCCGCAAAAAAAAAGCCAATGAGCTATTTGGCTCTTTCAAATTATGAGAGAAACCAACAAAGTTTTTGAAACAAATTGTCGCTTCTTTCTACGCAATAACGGGTCTTGGGCTTAGAAGACACTAGAATAGCTCATTCTTGGTGCCATGCAACAATTTCTTTCGCAACAGTTTTAGAGGACAATTTCATTATAAATCACACTGCTCATTCTTACCCAGCTGTGTCCGCAAGAGGGAAGTATATCCAGCCTGAACAGTACCGTTTATGCCATACCATTTGCAATACCAACTGATTTCCTTCGGCTTAAGAAATGCTAAACTGATTTATGGCATTAGGTTTCAAGTATGATGTATGGCATGTAATTAACATGCACTGCACATTTCAGAACTTATAGTCAAATAACGATAACATAAATGTCAATCAAAAATCATTTTGGACGTGATCACTACGCTTATTAGGTCCGGTTTTTAGTAAATGCTGTGATTTTACAACACAACAAAGTCTCGAAACTACAGCTTCATACAATTTCATTCCATGCGAGGCTTTATTTCAGGCCTAAATTGGTCATCCCAATACCAAAAAAAAAAAATCTTTGGACAGTAAGACTCTTTGAAATTGCGGATTTAGATCGCTCAACAGGTCGTATGAGTAACATTAATTTGTATGTGTATATACAAGTCAGCCTACACTGGCACTAACTTGTCATTTTCTTTCTGAAATGCATGGATCTTTCCTTGATGTGGTTGCAGACTTCTTTATTTTGTGACCTTTTCCATTTACCGGCACCCTTTTTTTCGACTAATATGCGAGACAGCTTCAAACTGTTTATCAACGCGGCAATCTGTTTTTGGGGTAACACCCACCTCTCTGGCAACTTTTCTAAAATCCCAAGTACAGTTTGGTAGAGGCGTTGACCACCCTTCTTAAATCGATGGCGGCGATCCTACAACTGCCTGAGTCCCACAAATGGAATTCTACATTCCCTGCCACATGTCTTACGGTATTCAAATACGGTTGACTAACATGCAGAAAATCCTCAGTTTTTCGTAATTTGAGTGTACTAAGATGTTGTCTAGTAAAAATGCTTAAACAGAATGGTGTAGCCAGCAATAACCCCCCGTTTAATTTTCTCATGATGTATAAGCTAGGTGCAATAAATTTCTTAGATTTGAACCAAAAAGTATTAAAAAATAGTTTAAATGTTAAATGTTTTATTAGACAGGCTACTATGGTTCTCATGGACTCATGTAATATATGGCCACGGTGACCATTCGTTCAATATTTTACCCCACTGTTTTTTTTTTTGTAATTTTTTACTAAATAAAGGACGCATTTATTTCTTGTAAACTACAAGTAGACAAGTGGTAGTGTCATTTAAATGAGCTCTGGATTTTAGCAAATACTACGATGAATTCGCAGAAAAACGTTTAAAAATCTGAAAGATATCAAAAAAATTGGTAAGTACATACATCTGCGCATCCAATTTTCTCACCAAGAATTCCATCTTGGAACTTTTCTTTTCGTTAGTGTTAGTATTTTATTTTTTCTTAAAAAAAAAAATAAGGAAAAAATATTGTGTCCCAGTATCTTGTTGACCGCTGGGTT